GGCGTCAGGAATTGCCTCCGGAGGCTTAGCAAGCGTAGCCATAGGGAAGGGAGGGCGGGCGAAATTTCCTTTAAGACCCGAGGTCACGATCTTGGTCCAAAATGGCAGAGCCATTTTGGCAGACGTCTCCTGACATAAACCTTGCAATTCGGCAAGCTCTGCAAGTAGTTATTCACAGATAGTGCTGCAGGGGGCCAGCGAGCCTTGAAACCTGCGCTGGCAGCAAAGACCGTGCTATAAGGTGGTGATATCTTTGGGACGTGAAAGCTACAAGTACGTACCTGCAAGTTTTCCTGCCAGTGGCATGAGGCGAGTGCAAATGTACATATAGTCTGCAAGAGGTTTTTAACAGGTGCAAGGATATCACTGGAATTCGAAATCTGCACATGCGTGCCCAAGACAGTAGTCGCTGAGTGCACTGCGCCAGGGCTGCCTGTTTGGAATTCCGCTCCTACGACCGGCCAATACTCCTTGATCGAAGTACCCCGACCATAGTCAGGTCATGTCAGGTCCTTTCTTCGTTCCCGTACGCGGTACACTTGAGATGTGGCATTCCGATGCAAACAAATCGCAGAGCAATTCCACCAATTGGTGGTGAGTGAATTTGAAGCGCGCATGCTGTCAGAGGGCCGATTTCGGTTCTTGCTGTGGACTCGCAAAAAAATCTGAAGGACTGTCGCTCACTCAGCTTCCGAAGAACGGTTTGCGTGATTCCAGGATTGACATTCTTGAGCGCTTGCGACAGTGTTGATCTCATTCTGCAGTGAGTCAAATTGAAGCTCCCCAACGAATGGTCAGGTGTCAACCAGTGCTGAGCTGGTTCCAGTCGCAGCTGCCGCAGCTGCCGCAGCTGCCGATGGCATAGCCGCTATGGCATAGGCAGCAGCGTCTCCGGCTCTATCTCATCTTGGTTTAGCTGCACTTTGACGGACAAACTCAGTGGCTGTGCCGTGCCGACGTGCGCGTTACATCGATGAACACTTTTGGTGAGGACTACATTTCGAGCACCACAAATTGTTCTTGTCTCCTGAGCGATGTTTGTTCTCCACATACGAGGCATGTCGCGTGACTCAACTTCGCACCAGCCTTGTGAAAGGACTTTGTGCACAACGAACCCTGTTAAGCCAACTTTAGTTCTGCTGCAGTGTTAGCTTTGTGTTTAGTTCTCCTGTAGTGTTAGCTTGGTGTGTGTGTGTGTGTGAATATAATACTGCAAACTCAAGGAGATGTGTTGAAATCTGAACACTTGCCCGCCAGACAGAGAAGCCTGACTTTGCGACACCGTGGCTCAAGAGCCGCACTTTGGTGCGCGTCAGGACAAAGGCACTGCTGTCAACTTTCAGGGTTACTTTGGCTAGTTCATTGAGTGATGCACGCGATTTTAGCCACCTCAAGGCTCCCTCATCTAACGTACTATCACTGTCTGTAGATTTGTGATGGTGTGTGGGTGTAGTGTCTTGACCAGCCGTTTGAGCTAGTTTCAAGCAAGCGAGCAAAAGCAATGCACACACGCGGGCAGCACGGGGGTCCATAATTCTGCTGGGTGCTAGATACAGCCGTGCATGCTTTCGAGTGATCTCGTGCAATATCGTGGTTTGTTCAAGCAGACCACTTGCAGTGCGAAGAATGAGGGTTACCGCCGTGACTGTGGCAAACTAGTCGCTGCATGTCCTGAGCAGATTGTCGCGGGGTGCCCGGCTGAGAACCGGCCTGCGCATAGCACATCCATAGCACGGGGCAAGGGGTGAAACTCCTACGGCTTCTCCCAGCGCCTTGTCCTTTGTTGAAGTGCTAGGCGATGATGCCTCTGCAAGCTTTAGTCGGCACGAGTTGAAGCAGGAGATGGACCAAGCCTTTGTCAGCGAAGGACGCGGTGATGGTGAGGCATGTGGAGTCCCAGGTTGGGATCCAGCCTAATTTGCGCAGCTTCTGCTTCCAGCCTCGCACGAAACTTAAGACCCGTCGTCCTCCAGATCCAGCTTGCGTGTGCGAGATGTGCTGCGATCCTCCTCCAGCACGATGGAAACACCCTTGCAGTCTTGCTTCAGCTTTCTCAGAACTCACAAGGCGACTGACGACAACTGGAGTAGAGGCTATGTAAGTATGTGGACGTGAGATCCTTGCAAGGTTCTTGCGAAACCCTCTGTCAACAGGGGTGACGTAGAGGTTTCGCAGCCACAAGTAACTCGCACAGCTCTCGGCACGTTCACAGCCTGCCTTACATATGTGTTAAGTTAAGAACATGCTGCAACACTCAAGGATTTGGCAATGAATGACACGTTCTTACGATACCATGCTTTAAATCACGAAACATCGCGACACGACATGTCCTAAACAACGAAGCATCCCTACACCGCATGCTGCAAACAAACGAAACATACTGCAAACCACGAAACATATGTACACCGCATGCCTAAATCACACCCGGTCCGGGTCGGTAGGATTCTGTCCGCCTTGTCGAGAAGTTTCAGACTATGCCGATGCTCTGCCCACAGACCGGCACACCGTTCCTCATTGTCGGCGTGATCATCCTTGCAGTGCAATTCTTATGTTCTGAGATGACCTCCATCAACGTCTTCTGCCTGGTATCCTTGCCACGGGCTCGGTCCGACAAAACGAACGAAGCAGGGCAACTTGCAAGACCTCATGAGTTTTCTTGGACCGTCTTCAGGACTGCAGGGCACAAATTCAGATTCCGAGACCTTGTCGTAGTCGTTTCGGTGCATTTCTGCCCGCCCACACGGCACTTGGTGCTTCGAATTTTCATCTTCGAGATCCTGGAGCTCGGATTCGAGCTTCAGCATCCTCATGCGGTCCTGGTGCTCCGTCTCCCTCTTGCAAACCTGCCGCCATTCGTGCTTCTACAATCCTCGCCTTGTTCAGACGTGTACAGTGTAGATACAGGAGGCATGCTGCATATTGCTGGATTTGCTCCCATCTGGCTCCCATAGACAGTCTCAATGTAAAGCTGTGTTTTCCCCACTCACGGTGAGGTCTCATCCCTCACATCACACCACGAATGTTGAATACAGAGTCGCCTTGAGCTGAAGTGTCTCCAATGCTCCCACACTCAGCCAGCCCGCAATTTCCGCAACAGCCTGTCCTGGGACTGTCGCTCGCCTCGCACATCTCGCACACGCGCAGTGCGCACGGCGATCGTCTCGGCCACCTCGGCGCGGCGCCGCGCGCTCTGCAGCTCCTGCCTCCCAGAACACATTGAATGGGAAGAGAGATCGACTGCAAAAGCCGAGACCTGGCTTTGCTGGCCGTCTCTTCCGCCTTCTTGAAGGAAGCCTTGCAGACGGGCTCATGCGAAGCCAAACGCTCGAATCTTGGGATATCCCGCCTTCAACTCCTCCACCTCCCCTCGCGATTTCCGCGCGAGCTGCTCGGCGGCTTCGGCCCCTGACTCACAAGCGCCTCAAACGCCTCATGAGCAAACGTCTCAGGGCCCCCGGCGACTTTTCCACTCTGCCAGCTGCTTCGCCAAGCGAAGATTCTCCGCCTCGGGCCGGGCCGACGGGCCGACTTCTAGACACACACGAGGGCGTGGAGTGCGTGGAGTGCGTGTGTGCTGCTATGACCCGGGCCTCGGCGGCCTCGGCCTTCTTTCGGGTCTCCTCCACGCGCTGCGCGGCCTCCGCCAGGCAGCGCTCCAGCTGCGCCTGGGCCTCGCGACGGGGGCGACAACGGCGAAAGCCGAGCCGGCGCGAGAGGGGCGGCGCTCGCGCCTTCTGCAGGGCTTGCCGCGCGGACTGTGCCCTCTGGCGCCAAAGAACCGGCGTTTCCAACCTGTCTGCACCCCTTACGGCCCAAAGCTGACGCCAATGAGCCAAGCAAGGCCAGGCAGCCCGGGCTCTTCATCAAGATCCCAATCGTCACTTCTCCAAAACCTGAGCATGCGGCAGGCTCGTGACTGCGACACCTCCAAGGAGTGCCCGCGGCACCCGCGCAATATCTTCCTCATCTTCGCCGCACAACTCGAGCATCCGGAGACCAGCGCCCTTAACAACGTCAGCATAGACACTGCTGCCATGGTATAGGTCTCACAAACATTGTAGTAGGTCTAGCCTGGCTTCCTCAACTCTGTTCGTTCCAGCCCGCCTCGCTGGAGCTGCAAAGGCGCCCAGCTTTGCACTGATGTCGCCAATCCTGTCAATGCACTTCGTTTATGCTCCATTCCGCCATACCTTCCATACCCTCCCCTGCACGCACTAAACAGCTACGACACATTGACATGCCGGTGCCTCCCACTGCATTGGCAGTTTTGAGTGGCCCCAGGCATGCTTGGCACGAGCCTCCGTGCAGCATCAGCTCGAAACGACCCATGCTGACGCTTTAGCAGTAGCAGTGGCAGTGCGGTAGCGGTAGCGGTGGTTATTTGTCGTAGTAGTAGCAGCAGCAGCAGCAGCGGCGGCAGCGGCGGCAGCAGCGGTAGCAGTAGGAGTAGGAGGAGGAGGAGGAGGAGTAGGAGTAGGAGTAGGAGCAGGAGCAGGAGCAGGAGCAGGAGCAGGAGCAGGAGCAGGAGTAGTGTAGTAGTAGTAGTAGTAGTAGTAGTAGGAGGAGGAGGAGGAGGAGGAGTGGAATGGGTGTGACTATGAGAATGACTCTGAATATGATTATGAGTATGAGTATGACTATTACCACTACTAGTTGTAATCTCGTTGTACTACTGTTATTAGTCTTATGACTCTTGTTTCTATTGTCATTACATGTTAGGCATTATTAGTATTATTAGTACCACTACCATCACTATTGCCTGCTATCATCCGTATGAATGCTCTGATTACTATTCTTATCAGTCTTGGTATTCTTCTTGTTCCTTCTCCTCTCTGTGCTCTTTCACGTTGCTTCCAGCTCTGTGTATTTTTCTTCTCCTTCTTCCTCTTCCTCAGCCTCGTCCTCTTCCTCTTCTTCTTGTTCTTGCACAGCTTCTGCCACCTGCAAAGAGTGCCAAGCTGCTCTTCCGCGTATGCTGTTGGTTTCGGCTGGGTTCTTGCTCCGGCACTTGCTTCTGCTCCTCCTGAAAGGGGCATACGAGTCAGGTCCGTTATTTGTATCCTTTGTTCCGGCTCTTTGTGTTTCTTCTCTCTCCGTCCCTGCCACTCCCCCCGGCGAAACGACCACTCTCGATCCACCCGCCTCCAGGCTTTCCGCCGGCAGGCTTCGAGTATCTCGCTCGGACGGCACCTGTACAGATTAGCCCAGCAATGGCAAAGATCTCCCGCTGTTCTAGCCAGGCAATTCGCCTCATCGGCGACAGGCGGCTGCGCAGCGCTCGCAGCAGCACCACAGGCCTGCGAGGAAGAGACAGCTTTACCCTGTGGCCTGTCCCGCTCAAAATCCATTGCAAGCCTGCAGAAGTCCGCCCAAGAGCCATGTTGCATCTCTTGCGCAGTCTGTGCCGCCTGCAAACGCTTGTGCCGTCTCGTGCCCGAAAACGACTAACATAGCAACCGATTTCACGATGGGCACCTGTCTTCTGCCTCGGAGAGGGACTCGGAGGTCTGGCTCTATGCTGAGAAACTTGCCACCTGACACCAGTCACATCCGGAAATATCTCCTGACTGCAGTGTCTGCTATTGCCTTTTGGTACTTCCTCTGCCAAGATCAAGCCGCTGATGCCCTGTGACCCTGTGCCTGTAGCAACTGGCGGGCGTCGCGTCTGCCACAGGCAAACCGCACCCAACCTTGAACCAAACTCATCAAAAACAACCTTGCAACATGCTGGCTTTCAAGCTTGGCTTCACACAAAACCAGGCTGATGCCACCCAGCAGGAAGGGCCACACCGGTGTCCTTAAAGCGCAAAGACGCGGCCTACGCCCACGCTTGGCCACGAGGTTTCAGCTCTCAGTTCGTTGAACTCTCGACTACCGGCTCGGCTCCTACCACCTTGCGCTGGCCGCTGGCCACTAGCCGGCAACAACATACTCTGCTCACTCTACTCTTTTCCTGGACAGTTGCTGAGATGTGGCCTGAGGCCTGGGGCCCTCGCTCCGGTCGCTTTCTGAAAGGCCAATCTGTTTTTCCAGGGCCCTTGAGGGCTGCATCCTCGCCCTGTAGGCAGCGGGCCAGTTGGGCCCGTGCCTCGCACGGTCAGAGAGGCACATCGACATAGAGGCACTGCACGTTCAGACAAACATAAACCCCTCTCAAAGCATCCCTTTGCTACCACCTTACTTGCTTCCCTGCTCTAGCCACTAGCCTCATCACGCTCCTCTCGCAGGTTTCCTGCTGAGTCCGCGTTTGCCGGGTCCTTCCATTGCATATCATTTCATCACGATGGTGCCGAGGGCATACTAACGCGTGTCTGCTGCAGCAGTCCAGACCACCCCAGCCGACTGCCCAGCCAGGCGGTTGCGCCAAAATTTGCGCTGGTACCAAAGAGAAGAGCAGCAGTCGCATGGCTCGCCATGGGGGTGTTGAGTTTGGAGCTGCACACGTTTAGTTGTTTCGGGGAAAGCTCAGGAATTCAACCAAAAACGCAAAGCTCCGACCAGGGTTGCAAGTCATGCATTGCATAAGCCTAAGCGACATATGACGGCCTTGAGCCCAAGTGCTGACTCCAGGACCGACAATGCATTCTGGAAGCTCGTCCTCCTCGCGGCTTGGGCCTCGGCTTTCGATGTCGTCCAAGGCGACTCCCTGCTCAAGATCACCCCATGAAATCTATGATGCCCAGCCACCGCCACCATGAATGAGCCCCACCGAGAAATTCTGCTGTGGATGCTCAAGCAGGCCCCCGAGTGGCCGAGAGCAAGACTCACGCCAAACCAGGGCCAGGGGCCATGCAAGCCAACTCTGACCAAACCCGAAGAAAGTGCTCCGGTGCCTAGCCGACAAGTGAGTCCGTGAGTCTCCTGCGCTTCAAACCAAGCGTTGCCTACAGCGCAAAAGCACTGCTAGTCATAGTCGGAAGCTCCTCAAAAGACCAGGGGTTGCAATTCACCTCGGCAGCACCGTGAAAAGAGGCTGAGGGATGCAAGGCGAGGGAAGGCGGCAACACGAAACTTTCAGACTTTCAAACGGAGACCCAACACGCACCGGGACTGGTAAGGCGAGATGCTGAGTCCTGCTGATTAATGATTGAGACGCCTTTAGGAGTTGCGCCTGAATCTCGTGCCTTCTGGCATTTACCGAACCTAGGCTGCCAGTCGTCTACGCAACAGTAGACGGACGCCTTGACCAAGCAGAAGGTTCCAGGAGAGCCGTTCTCACATTTGCTACTTCGCTCCGCCTTTTGTCAGAGGTCGGTCCCAGCAAATCTGCAACGAGCAGCAAGCATTTCTGCAAAGCAAGAGGCCGCAAGAAATCCCGCAGCGGCTTGGTGACGGCGGCCCGCGCAGGCACGGCATGGCAGATTCATATTTCGTTGAGTTTCTGCTGAGGTCCCACTACGGGTGTCGAAAGCAATACTGTGCAAGAAATGGTGTGGCGTCACAGGCTACATGAGCCGACTCTCTGAAAGCGTCGGCCTTTGTCTTGGCTTCCTTTGCCGTGCTCTTTGCGGGCTTGTGGAGGGCGGCTTTGCGAGTGCCAACAACAGGCAGCCGCCATCACTCGACATGAACCGTCATGACGTGAACGCCGTCCGCCTGACCCAGCTGACGGTAGAGCGGCACGATATCGCCTGACAAGAGCAACAGTGCGCAGCTTTTAGTGACTAGCGATAAACCCTCGCACTTGTCCACATTTCTCGGAGTTGGCTTGGGGTGGGAAATCCGGTGCTCCGCCACTGCCCTCTCGATTGGGTTTTTGATGCTTCTGCCAGCACGTGCGCGCGATGTGCACGTTCGCCGAGTGCTCTGTTGGCAGGGCAGAAAGCAGCCTGGCACCAGCTCCCGAGAATGTCGGAGTCACGCACCGGCACCATCAACTTAGAGACATTGATTCGTCTTCGTAACTCTTGTAAACTAAGCTTTTGCCTCCAACATTTTCGGAGAGCTCACAGGCTGCAAATGGCTGCAACTCAGTACCAGTGCACTGACATACACGCTCTCTGTACAGCTCCAGATTCAACGCGACAGCTGATGGTACACACAGCACAAAGTGGGCCACGGCCGGGGAGTTGTCCTCTACCCAAGCCCGAAATCAAAGAGGATGAAACGCCACCTTGCAGAACTGCGAACACTGCGAAGTAGAAACCATGACTCTCCCTGCCTCCACCAGCACCAGTTCAGCCAAAGCGACAAAGGCGGCCTCCGAGAAAACCAGACCAGGCCTGGGAGAACGCCCAAAGAGGCGAAGGCACAGCCCTCCCCCCCCCCCCCCCC